CACACACACACACACACACATCTTTAAACAAACACACAAACACACATCTTTAAACAAACATAAACACACACACACACACACACATCTTTAAACAAACACACACACACAAACACACACATCTTAAACAAACACAAATACACACATCTTTAAACAAACACACACACACACACACACATACACACACACACACATCTTTAAACACACACAAACACACACACAAACACACACACACACACACACATCCACAAACACACACATCCACCCATGTACTCACGTGTCTAAGAAGTCGACCATGTTTTGACTGAGAACCTGAGCTTGTTCCGGTGGCGGACCAGGCCGGAAGTTTGGGGAGCTCAAGGGAGATAACTCCACATTGGGCACTGAAACAGCAGGTGGGACAGACGTGAGAGATCTGAAGAAACGTAAATCTAGACGCAATAACCACACCTGAAGCAGGATAAAATTGCCGACAATGTGCATACCAATGGGGTTATATTCTAACAGAGTAACTGGTTTCTTGAAAATTTTTGAACATATCAATATGCTCAGTTCAGTTTCAGTAAGAGTTATACGGCTCTTACAACACAATAAGGTCATATAAGTGCCGAAGATTAAAATTTTACAGGAGAGTAACAAACATAAAAAAGAAAGAGGGGAGATAAGGACTATAAATGTATGTTTGATGGGAAAGAAGGTTAAAACCACACCAGAGCACCCATCACCCACCAGCAGTAAATTTGGACACAATAACGACACCTAAAGGAGATTAAAATTTTTGATAGATAACAAGCATAATAACAATGTTATGTTCTAACCTGTAGCTGGTATCTCTAAAATTTCTCAACATTTCAATATGCAAAAATAAGCAAACAAACAAAGAGAAGAAACTCATAAGAATAATCAGGAAAAAACACAAAAGTAAACTCACAGTTCTTTTATACTATTTATAGCGCCTGCTGACTCCTGATTTTTATTTAGGACCTCTAGATGAAGCTCCACAACAGTTTAAAAAAAGAGGAAAAAAAGTTGACCTATTTGTTCTAATTACAGGGTTAAAATGTAGGTGTTTTTAACGCCCCTCATCAACACAATTTAGATCTTTTAAGAGGCAAGGTTCTAACCCTGCATGTTAGGGTCAAGCCGGGCTGAGAGGGATGCAGCATCCCAGCAGAAAGACCGAGATGCTTGAGAAAAATTTCTTTCCACTCCAGAATCAGACTCAGCCCTCCTGCCTGCGACGGTGAAGCGCTGAACCGCTACACTACAGATGCCAGTATTACAGGGATAGAGCATATTATATCATCATCATTAAGCTTATTAAGCTTCCCCTTCCTTCTGAGGATAAGGTTGACAGAGTCCAGGATTCTGACTTTAGCGCTCACCTATGTAGCCTTCGGTAGGTCTCCCGTAGCGAGGTTCAGCAACTTCCTGGAAACACCAAAAAAAACAATAGACAATAATTGTTTATATTGTTCGAGTTAGTTTGAATAAAAGAAGCCTATTTACACAATAATGTACAATAATAAATAAATAATAAATGGCATTTGTACAGCACATATCCCTGTCCTACAGCAAACTCTATGCACTCTACAATCTATATTATTACCCCAACAAGCCCTAGAACACTCAGAAACATACTCAGCTTCTTGAAAAACATATAGAGCAAGCAGCTGATTAAGTATTCAAACACTAACAAACCGACAAAATCTTTTGTTGTCAAGAGCGGGGTACCTATCCCCACCTGGGTGAAGTAAGGAAAATTCTTGTGAAGCGTTTTGTTTTTTCTTTTGAGGCCACATGGTACTGTTTTCTTCAATTTTAGTTGAAATTTCCAAATAACGAGGTGATGATCTGACACCACGTTTGCCCCACAGTACACTCCTTAAAAGCTATAAATAATAATAATAGATATCACTTATATAGCGCAATGCAATAATACAAAGAACATAAGCACCATACTGTTTAAAAAGCAATAATTTTTCTCCTATCTCTCTTCCTATCTCCATCTCCCACTCCCTCTCCCTCTCCCTCTCCCTCTCTCTCTCTCTCTCTCTCTCTCTCTCTCTCTCATTCCCACACAAAATTACACACACATAAATACATACATACACACACACACAAATATTGATTAACAAACACACCACTTAATACAGAAAAGCATCAACAAAAACAAACTACACTGACTGACAGAAAGAAACCCTTTATGTGTATTCAGCGCTTTAATTCCTCACCGCTTTAATCCCACACATGACAGTGGTGTTACCAAGCTTCACCAAAGATGAACCCTCAGCTGTTGAAACACATCCTAAAAGTACAGGAGAAAAAAGGCAAAGTTCAATGAAAATACAGAGAAAGTTGGTGCGCGGTGACTTGTCATACACGTATTTTTGTTTATTATTTCAGTGGGACGTTTTACAGAGGAAAAAAGGGACACCTTTAGTATCAGTAAGAGTTTTATGGCACTTGCAACAGAGTTAGGTAAAATAAGAGCCAGAACTTAGGTGTTACACGAGAGAGACAAGCACAAAAAAGGAGAGATAGGGAAAATAAACGTTTGATAGGAAAGAAAGGGCAAACCACACTAGAGCACCCCCCAACTACCCACATACCCTCATGACGTATTTAGTCTTGACAAGAATGTCAAGGATCAATTAGTCAAACACATGAAAACAGTTTGTGAACATATTACAATTGCAATCGTGAATGTTTTGTGCCTCTGTCCACATAATTTGGATCATTCTATTCAGGAGGTGGCCACTTTAAACCCTGTCTGGCAGGGCCAACCTGGTCTGAGAAGGATACAACATCACAGCTGACAGACAGACATACTCGATACATATATATATATATATATATATATATAAAACCCCTCTGCACCCAGGAATCGACCTCATGTCTTCTGTGTGCTACTGCTGCCAAGAGTCTGAGTTACCAGAGTACTTAGTATTGACAAGAATGTCAAAATTATCAGTTCAAAAAGTAGGGAAGAAGTTAAAATCTTAGCTTTTGAAATGTTACAGCCTTTCAGACATAAATTCAATAAATTTCTATTATTATTTTATATTATTTATCCTGCTCAAATCTTTAATACAAAACGATCTTGTTTACGTCCCAAAAATTACATTTTTTCTTGCCTGAACTTTTCCAAAAACAGATTAAGAGCTCTCTATTCTTCCACAGATAAGAACGCTTACCAATATTGAGGACGGTCGGTCGAAATTCTCCTAATTCACGATCATCAGGACGTACTTCCTTCTCCTAAAAAAATATTCAAAACGAAAATCTGCATGCACTCCATTTCCAAAAAAAACCCAATTAAATTCGCCTTGAAACAGTAATATACAAGTATTAAGTAATTTCTTGAAAAAAAATAATACGACAAAACAGCCCAATCAGTAATAACAAAGAGTTCATAATTTACCGAACAATAGAACATTGCTCTTACACAACTGCTCAAGTGAAACATCTTTATCATAACATAATTTTACAGTAGAAAGATAAAAATGTAAAATAACTTCTCTCATTTGATCTGAGATTTTACATTTTTTTCAAACAGAAATAAGAAATTCAAAAGTAATTCAAGCTATTGGCCAATTCCTAATCAGAAATCTATCCATCAAACTCTAACATGGTGTCAGGTAGAAAGGAAAGAGCTGAATTAACGGCAGTTGGATCTATAAAAAAGAGTTAATCATTTTGGTTTAAATAAACATCAACATCTAACTGAAATTCTTTCTAACAAAAGTATTCAACCTCCAAGAACAGAGTGCACATATGCTAAGGACATTGTTGAAATAAAGTATACCAATGATGAGTAGGTGCAACAATAAATTCAGAAAAAACGTAGAGTCTATGGAGTAACAACTAAACTTCATCTGAGGTAAATTTTCTTAAATAACTTCAAAGCTTCTATGATATCATCGAGCACATCTGAGACTGTTGTGCCAAAAATTACCTTTTTGTCAAAAGTCGTGAACTTTATATCAATGAAAGATGTCGGGTCAAGATTTTTTAATACAAGTAATAGAGACAGCTATTTGGTACTGGGATATCTAACTTTCTGTAAAAATGAAATGTTGGACTTTTGACAGTTGAGTTATCTATCAAAGAGCATTGAAAAGGACATCACTGAAATGACATACCAAGAAAGCTCTGTAGTACTCCTTGGGCTGGGCAAGTCTGGAGGAAACAAATAAAAGAACAAATTAAATCATCCTTCACGGCAGGAACAAAATTTGAAGTAGCCTACTGAAACTAGAAAAATGAACAAATAACAGAAAAGGTCACTCTACTGTAACCGTAATGAGATTCAATCCCTTCTTACACTATCGTCACTGAGCATTTTATAACTCTGTTGGTCTAAAGGTTACAGTGTTCGCCTCTTATTCAATAAATCACAGGTTTGAAACCTGACAGCCACGGAAAATTGCCTTCTCTAAAGCACCTCTAACCTTGGCCTAACAGATCCGCTACAGTATACACACTGCACATGCAACTAAACGTAGAACGATGCAAACTATTTTTAGGTAAGGCGGCCATCTTGTATGACGTCAGACAGGGATACCCCTCCGATCACATGACTACATGATCTAAACATAGCCAACTACATGGCACCAAAGTTCATGTATACTAGACCTGCATGTGAGCCTCAACCAGATTGTCTGAAAATTCTGCGCACCCCCCCCCCCCCCCTAAAGAGCTTTTTTTGTAGGTGTCATAAAGGGAAGGACTTCCGAGTAACGAGCGACCACCCCAACAAACACAATATAAAGAAGAGACCTAACCCTAACCCAAACACTGCCCCTACCCCAAAAAAGAACCTGCAACGGCCCTTATGTAAAGGGCCAGCACAAGTTAAAAATGAAAAGAAAAAAAAAGGAAGTGGCTATTCTCATCCGGGGTGAGAATAGAAAAACGATCTACCTCTCACCCCGGGTGAGAATTGCCAGCGTAGGCTATTCTCACCCGGTGCAAAACAAGACCTGCTTTTCCTCATTTTGGAATACTGTCTATCGGTGTGGATGATCCAATTGATAAAAGCCAAGAAAAAATTACGTTATAGCACAAAAGTAAGCTAATTTGATCGTCTTCAAAGATGCTATGGCTATTTCACTGTTCGAATCGAGCCGAACTACGCGGGTCGCCATTTTTTTTTGCCCGGAAGTTCTCGCAAGATCTACTCCTCCCCTATCTCTCTCTCTCTGTCTCTTTCTGAATACTGTCTATCGGTGTGGACGATCAAATTGACCAAAACAAAGTTAAAAAATGATGTTAAAACACAAAAGTAAATTAATTTGGTTGTCTACAAAGATGCTACAGCTATTTAACTTTTTGAATCGAGCCGAACTACGCGGGTCGCCATTTTGTTTTGACCGGATGTTCTCGCGCTACTCCTCTCTCTCTATCTTTCTCTCTCTCCACTGCCCACAGACAAAATTGTACGCTTTTAGTAGGCTAGGCTACAGTTGTAATGGAACGTTTGTTCACGGCACAGAATTCTACAATGTTTCTGTTATCGCAGTGTAGAATTCTGTGGTTTAGGGTGAACGCAAAATTTGTTGGCCTAGATCTAGGCTATAGCGGTGAACGCGCACCGGGTGAGAATAGCCAAAAGACTCGCCTGCACTATTCTCATCCCGGGTGAGAATAGAGGTGGCCAAAAAAAAAACGAAGTTCCAAAACAGAAGCATAACATGGCCTACTACTTTCAACCTACACTTTACAGTAGGGCCTACACACTAAACAAGTCTCAGACCACACATTGAACACACTGCCTGTCATAATAATTATTTGAATTACACGGGCACAGTTAATTTCACAGATTCACACTGAACAGTGCCAGTGAGTGAGTCGAGTGAGGTACAGACGCCGGTGCTAGAGACAGATCCAGTTCCAGAAATTGCCACACATTTTACGGTGCCATTCAAAATGAATGCCTCTATAGAATTCATCTGGGACTCCCTCAAACCTTAACATCTAAACATAGATCTACCAACTGTAAAAAATCAGAGCAGTTTCAATTTAAATTGCCTTACCACTTTTCATTTATATAAATTTGAATCTTACCGTATTTCTTCAGCCATGTTGATTGTTTTTTTTTCGCCGTAGAAATTGGGAGTTACCGGACTTCAATAGCTTGGACTTGCAAGGAAATATATCTAGTTGTTTGTATCCATTTTCTTACGGTCCACATTGTCGAAGCAGGGGCAACTTTTAATCTCCTTGGGCAGGGGCGAAGATCCAGGCTTTCCTTCCTGAGTTCACAGACGCGCAGACATGAAGGAACAAGATAAAAACTGATTGTTAAACTCTTTGACGTACGTCCTCCAGAATTTCCAATTCAAAAACTTGTATTATGGGCCACGCCTGACCATTCAACTTCAACATTCTATTTCCAACGATTGATCTTTTTTGTCAAACTGTGATGCATGTGTGGGGCCTTAGTCTTAGTTCTGTTCCACTCTTTGAAAGGCAGGATCAGGTTCATTTACACTTTTTTCCTTCTTGTTTCTGTTGGGGGGGGGGGGTCTTATGCCCACTCCATGACAGAGCCTTATCAATGGGTAGGGCAGATTACTATATTCTTATATCTGCTGAGCTTTATCGAGTTGGGCCAGACAAATATGTTTCACGACATTTCATCAATTTCAAAGGTCTGGGACGATAACTATGTAAGTACAAAAGTCTGCACGTGTAT